GCTCGGAATGAAAGGACCACCTAAGGAGCCGTTTCCCCGGTGAACAGACTGGTCATTAATCTACTGTCTAGAGAAGCTGCTTAAAACCCTGGCACTCGGCCCACAAGCAGACGCACCATCTATCAAGGTAAAGATTACATAGATCAACTATTACTGGCTTTGATCACTGTCCATACTGTTTATCACACCTGACAGAGTGCAACTCACGTAGATGGCGACTTTCGCCAGTTCTCAGGCTGAAAAAGTAGGCACCGTGCTACCCGACAACTTTTTCATATAGATGTTAACAAAGCACAAATGCTCACTAGTATGGAAGTTACAAACTGAGGCAATCTGCACATTAGGACACTGTCACAAGACATTACAGATGTGTATCTTATCACTGTACCACCATACCTGGCTCTTTCAAGAATATGAATATATATGCATGTGTGTATATATATATTTAAGTTTATTAAACTAAGGACCATGGAAGTTAAACAATTAAAATAATTAATAGAAATGTAGTTTTCTTCCTTGAAATTATTTCTTCAAAAATTGATAAATGTATCAATCCCCTGGCTATCAAGTTCCATTTCTATAGCCAGCACAAAGAGCCCACTATAGGCATACAAGGTTGGCTTTAAAGCCTTAACCTTCAAACAATCAGTGATGTGTCCCAATATCACTTTCTATGTGTTGTGCACGTGCATGTGGAGGTCAGAGAGCAGGCTGGGGTATTCTGCCATCAGTCGCCATTGTCTTGAAGCCGTCTTGAGTACTTACCATCTTCTGTAGCTGACAAGACTTCAGACAAGCTTCCATGCCACCACGGCTTTGTGATTTTTTGCCTCAGGTCACCCCCAAACATTACTGAAGTGCAACTCTGAGCTTTGGAATTGTGACAGTGATACCTGCAGGGGTCTTGTTCATTATATCTGAGAAGATTACGTCTAGCTGAGCGGTGGTGGTGCACGCCTTTAATCCCAGCATTTAGAAGGCAGAGGCAGGCGGATCTCTGTGAGTTCAAGCCCAGCCTGATCTACAGAGTGAGTTCCAGAACAGGCAGGGTTACAAAGAGAAACCCCTCTCAACCCACCCCCCAAAAAGAAAATCGCCCCTAACTCCACTATTATAAAGACAGACACCTCATGACTAACAGGAATAACACCACAAAGTTTATCCAGGTCTTGGAGAATTACACATGTGCAAATTCTACAGGTTGGTTAATCTGAGAGAATCAATTCTCTACCTCATGGCCTTTTCATATACACTACCCTCTAAGGTAGATGAAGTAGCTGGATAGCAATGGTGTCTTCTAAGACACTGCAAAGATATTTCAGGTTCTATCTGTGCAAGCGCATTTCCTTCCATTGCTTTAACTTAAGTTCCTTTAAAAATGATCATATATCTCAAAAGGGGGTGCCGGTGAGGTGGCTCAGAGTATCAACCGTAATGACCTAAATTTGAACTACAGGATCCACAGTGGAAGGAGAGAACTGCCTCCTGTTAGCTGTCCTATGACATGTGCCCCATGGCATGTGTGTGCTCCATATATACACATCCATGTACATATGTATACATACGTACACACACACAAATCTCAAAATAATTTCCCAAATTTACTGATAGAAAATTTTCATTTCCTATTTATTCTCCAGTCTCTACGTCTCTTTAAACATTGTATGTGTATGAATGTTTTGTGTGCATGTTCGTGTACTGTGTGTGTGCCTAGTGCCTGTGAATGTCAGAAGAGGGCATAGGATTCCTTAGAACTAGAGTTACAGATGGTTTTGAGCTGCCATTAGGTTCTGGGTCCTACACAAAAGCAAAAATAATGCTCTCAACTGCTGAGCTTTCTATCCAATCTACTTAACCTCTCTTTTGAAATGTTTCTGTAGTAATTCCTGCTGACGAACAAAACTTCAGATGTCTCCACTCAATCCCTATCTATTCGACCATTTAGGAAGTTTGGTATTAAACATTTCCCCTGCTACTCTTCTCTTTCCAAGATTTGCTAGTCTTTCTCTTAGTCTTTCTGGATTCTCCAGGATTCTGCTTGTTGCTCTTGGAAAGCCAACTATCGCCATCACTGGGAATGAGACTGAGGAGAACTCTTTTATAAGGCTTCTGCACTCTGATAAATGCACACTGCTGATAAATCTGCTTCTAGTTAGTACAGAATTGTAACAGATGGAAAAAAGTCATAAAAACCTATGAGGAGTCATTATTTAGACTGCTTTGCCAAGTACCTTTACGTATTTGCTGCACGTCACTGTAAAACATTTTTTTCTGGACTGGGACTTGCCATATAACCTGTGCTGGTGTGAACTTCGTGATCCTTCTGCCTTACCTTCATGAGTGCTCTTTGCTACACTAGGAATCACAGAGACTACATACATTACATCTATATCTAGGTAAGAAAAGTAACAAGGAATTTAAATTAGTCTATTCAACTAAAAAGCCTTTATTCTAGAGCAGAGATTTAACTTAATCATGTGTTTGTTACACAGGTATTTTTGTGTGCTTACTGCGGCATGTGTATGTTAAATGCTGTATATCTGCAGGCATGTGTGAGTGCCTGTGTTTGAGCAGAGGCCAGAGCACCATGATGGATGCCTTCTTCTATTGCTCTCTGTCCTATTCCAGAGCACCATGATGGATGCCCTCTTCTATTGCTCTCTGTCCTATTCCAGAGCACCATGATGGATGCCCTCTTCTATTGCTCTCTGTTCTCAATCTGGAACTCACTGGTTTCTGTTAGCCTGGTTGACCGGCATGTTCCCGAGATGTACCCACCTTCATCCCCACACTGGGGTTATAGATGTGCATGGCCACATGTGGGTGATGGTGATCTGAATCCAGGCCCTCATGCTGTGCAGCAAGTACTCTCAGCCACCAAACCATCTCCCTGGCCTACTGCCTTCATTTCTAAAATTAACTCTTAAAATAAACAGAGTTACCACTCCTGGTCACTTCAGGTAAGACAGTCTCTGCACTTTAGCCCCGAGGGTCCGCCTGCCACACGACAGCCTACTCAGATTTCATATCATCCACCCTCCCTTCCTCACAGGCCTAGATGGACACATCTACTCTGGATCATTCCTAATGATGTTAAGCATTGGTGAGTCTACTTTTTGAGGGGCTCCACTGTTTTACAGTTCATTCTCTACTGAGGTCTTTTTCTGCTCTTCCTCTGTTCCAAGGCTTTGCAAGAGTTTCTTGTACAAAACAACAACAACAACAACAACAAAAAAACCCAAAAAACATAAAAAAAAACCATTTTCAAAGCTACGGAATGGAGCTGGGTCAAAAATTTTACTAAGTATAATTTATGTAGAACAAAATACCCCTTACATAGCCATGTAACCACCAGTGATCAAGACTTGAAGTATTCAGCATTTCAGCACCTCTTCTCTCTCCCTTTACTCCTTCCTGGCTGCAGATAACCAAGGGTCTGCTTTCCTTGGGTATGGACATGAAGAACTGTATATACACAGAATCCTACAGTTCATACTTTTTCCTTCATTTTGACTCATCCCTCCTGCTGCTTACTTAACACTTTGTTCCTTTTTGTTGTGCAGTAGAAGTCTATTGCATAAATAACATTTATTCATCTAGTCACTTTTGACAAACATTTTGGTTGCCCCCAGACTGGGGTTGAGTAAAGCTGCTATGCATATTTATATTCAGGTCCTGGGTGAACATGTGTTTTCTATTTTTATTTATTTATTGAGTGAGGGTCTCACTATGTAGCCTTGCTGGCCTGGAACTTCGTATACACACAAGACTGGCCTTCAACTTATAGAGATTCACTTGCCAGCTATTCTGTGTTTTTGAGACAGGGTCTCTCTCTGTAGCCCAGATTGGGTTAGAATTCACTCTACAGCCTTGGTTGGCCTAGAACTCATGGCAAGCCTTCTAAATTTCACAAATATTGGGATTACATGGTTGAGCCACCTCACCCACTTATATACTCTCTTTTCTTTGACTGTAAATTTAGGAATAAAATTCTCAAGTCATACACTAAGCATGTATTTAACTTTGAAAGCAGATGGCAGTTTTGCTTTTCGGCCCAAGCATCATCTTATTTCTATGAACAATATACATATATAATAAAGTGACTGCTATTTGTTTCACACCCCCATAGCTGGCATAGTGGCCCACACCTTTAATACTAGTAGTACTCAGGACAGCTAGAGCCACAGAGAGACACCCTGTTTTGGGAAAACAAAAACACCTGACCAAAACCCAAACCCCCAAAACCCAACCAACCAACCAAAATGCCACAAATCAGTCATTTATGTACACACATAATTTGTCATTCACATACCCTCACTGGTTGACAATGATGCTCACAATCTACTAAGTTTGTATGCATTTCCCCCTCTGCATAAACTACAGAGTACAACCAGCAGTTTGCTCTGAGATGTTTCTTTCATATCAGCACCAGCTTTTAGAGAACAGAGTGGAATTCACTGTTTTGAGGTTTAGAACTATGTCCTCAGAAAAAATATTATTAAATACTCAGCTGTATTTACAGTTTTTCAAATATTAGCTGTACCTAGTTCCTAAAACATTTGCACTAATTTATATTTTTTGGCTTACCTTTCTATTACTTGTTTTTGATACGAGAGTGATTTAAAACACATCTTTAACATGCATTTTTTAAAGCTGTATGATGCAGCTGCCAGAAGCGCATCTCTCCTAGGATCTTATGCTCTAGGCGCTTGTCATTTCCCCAAGACTGTATTTCAGAAGTTTTTAAATTTATTTTTATTTTATATATATGAGTGCTTTGCCCGCATGTAAATTTGTGCTCTATGTGTGTGTCTGGTGCCTGCAGAGGCCAGAAGAGGGAATGGAACCCGGGTTCTCTGCCATTAGGAACTAGGTCTGAACGTGCAAATGGTGTGACCCTTCAAATGTAAACAGTGAGCACTGCTTTGATGTTAAAGGAAATGTCAATCACCGCAAAAGCACCAGGTGTTACGATAACCCCAATACAAGCATGTGCTCACCTTAACAAACTCCTTTCTTTCAATCATCTCATTACCATCCGCATCTAGCATTTTAAAAGCGACATGGAATCCAGTGTGAGGTTCTGCAAGGAGGTGAACAATGAACAATTATTTATTTGCTGGCAAAATGCTAAGTATTTGTAGCTACAAAAACCTTCCAATTTGAAATAAATGACCAAAAAGTATATAAGCAAAAGCCAGAGGAAAGAAGGATCTTGTTCATATTTTCTTTCTTTCTTATTACTTTTTCTTTTCTTTTTTATTCCTTACTTTCTCTTTCTTTTTTGAGACAGAGTTTGTTTGTGTAGCCTTGGCTGTGCTGGAACTTACTCTGTAGACCAGGCTTGTCTTGAACTCAGAGATCCACCTGCCTCTGCTTTCAAGTGCTGGGATTAAAGTGTACTTTATCACTACCCATCTAGGAAAGTTCTCTTTCAAACAGTATTTGATGTTGAAGCTCTGGCCTCTCAACATCGCCCATGGAGCTGTGGCTGGGCTGCACACTCTAAAAAGCAAATTACTGTGAGAACTTGACCCTACCTCCGGCTTTCTGGTATTCTCACAGCACTCCTGCTATTTTCATATTATTGCTATTCTTTTTTACTTTTCTGTTTTAGTTTTTAAAAACCTTTTATCTTGCCATTCTTGACAACTATAAAATGTATGCCCGCATACCCTTCAGCCAGGTTCCTCTAGCGTTAACATTTTAAATTCCAAAACACACTTATCAAGACTAAGATATTAACATTGCTACAGCATATGAATCATGAGCAGCAGAGTTTGTAATTTTTATTTATGCTGTGTTTGCTTTAGAATCAATGTGAGGTATTTTGCATTTAGTTGTCATGTCTGCTTAGTCTCATCCACGTATGAGAATTCCTTAATCTTTTCTGTTTCCACTACTGGGATACTTTGAAGGGCAAGAATCTTGTTCAGTTTTTTTTTTTTTTTAAATATCCCTAAGAGGCCAAACATGGTGTCCCATGCCTTTAATCCTTGAGGCAGAGGCAGAAAGGTCTCTGTGAGTTTAAGAGAGTTTCAGGCCAGTCTTGGTCACATTGTGAGAACTCACCCTCCCTCTCCCACCTCTCAGAAGGCTAACCATGATTTCTCTCTTTTTTCCTTCTCTTGGATAACACTATGATTTTTCTTCTCCCTCAGAAAACACTAACTATGATTTTCCTGTTTTTCTGTTCAGCAAATGCTCTGTCTCAGAAACAAAGTTACAGGGTGCCATAGTGTGTGGGTAGAAGAGCACACTCTAAGTTAACATTAGTTTGCAAATGGAGAGATTAAGATTTGTGTGTGTGCGTGTGAGTCCACATGTGCACGTACCTGTGGAAGCCAGAGGCTGATGTGGAGAGCTTGGGTTATTGCTCTCCACCTTATGGCTCTCACTGAATCTGGAGCTTTTTCCACTATTCTACTAGACTGGGTAGCCAGTGAGCCCCACCCCCAGTACTGAACTACAGGTGCAGACCCTCATGCCTGTTTTTTCTGAATGCTGGGGTCTGAACTCAGGTTGTCATGTTTGTACAGTAAACACTCTAACTCACGGAGACATCTCACCAGCTCTATTCTCAATGCTTTTAGTAATAAACACAGAAACATCAAATTTCAAGTCCTGCTTGTTAAGAATGAGAACTCCACATAACTGTTATAAAGAGAAGCAGTATACTTACTCGTGAGGATTGTAAGTAAGAAAAGATACTCGGTATACGAAATTAGCCCTGAAAGAGAAAACATAAAAATAAATCAGGAGATAAATTTTAGATGAGAATCATGGAAATAACTAATATTGAAACTTCACCTCTGTACAATTTGGCATTTTATTCTACATCTTTGGTATAGTGGAAACCACTGTATAATAAGAGTTGAAATACAGCCACATTTTAAAAAAGACACCATTCTTCATCAAGTTTTACCTCCAGCAAGGATGTCATGATAGTGAATCTTATGTGTCAGTTAGATTGGGCAAGGATTGGCCATTTTCCTGGGTATATCTATGAGGGTTCTCCAGCTGAAATCAGTCTATGGACTGGTAGACTCAATAGAGGAGATTGACCTCTCAACATGTGAGCATCATCTAGTCTGTCAGCAAGATGCCAAGGAAAGAATTCAGGCCTGCCCTCCCCTTCCTTACCTGCTGCATCCTCTATCCCTCTACTTTTACTCCTGGCTCTCCTGGTTTTCAAGACTTTGGGCTGAGACTGAATCCCACTCTTGGCTCTTGGGTCTCTGGCTTACAGAGGTCACACCAATCTGCAAATCTCCTTATGAGTTTGGCTTCACTGAACAATACTGACAGCTGCTGTTTAGCAAGTAACAGGAGTTCACTAGCATCTCATCTGTAGGTTATGTAACTTAGACTTAGTTTTTCCTATTTGTAATACCTTACTTGATTGACGGAAACTTACAACTATAGTAGCTCAGCTTTGGTTATAGAGAAAATCAAACTGTATAACTTAAAATGTTGTAGTAACTTCATTTCCCTTTGAGAAACCATTCTTTTTCATTCTTAAACATGCAGTTTGGGTGGGACACCTTGCTTTTCCTTCCTTTTCCATGATACTGAAGGAGGCATTTTAACTGAGTTAGGTTTCTGTTGCTGTGATAAAACACCATGACCAAAAGCAACCTGGGGGAAGAAGAAGGGCTTACTTCTGTTTATAGTTCTATAAAACAGTCCACATACAAGAAAGTCAGGGTAGGAAGTAGAGACAGGAACCTGGAGGAAGTAGAAGCCATGAACAAGTGCTGCTTGCTGGTTTGCTCAGCCTGTTTTCTTACACCACTTACAGTGATCTGGGTCTTCCCATATCAACCACCAATAAAGAAAGCACCCTACAGACTTGCCTAAAGAGGCATTTTCTCAATAAAGATCACCTCTTCCTGAATGACACTACCTTGTGTCACACTGACAAAACAGTGGCCAGCCAAGAGAGCAAGTGGCTTGGAGCCCAAGCTGGTGAACAGGCTGCTCTAGGGGCTGGTTCAGGGTAATTCATGACTGAAGCTAGGCCACTATGAGCGGTTCTGCATGATTTCTACCGAGAATGCCGGGGCACTGACTTCTTTTGTGTGCACTCGATGATGTGAGAGTTATAATTAGGACTAGGAGGCCATGGGCAAAGACAAGACAGCACTTAGAGCCTGAAAGCCCATAGTTAACTGGAAGGCTTAAAAAATGGGTACTGGTCTGAGCTCCAAATCCAGGTAGCTTTAGGGCTAGCTCCATATCTGGTCACTAAATAAACTTTCTTGTTGGAGTAGTGATAGGTTTTAGGTTAATGCAATGAGGAGCATCAGTAAACGCAGAAGTCTGACTTTAACAAGAATGGCTGTTGGAGGAGTTAACAATTTGTCTCTTGGTCAGGAGCTTGGTATACTAGCAAAATGCACAACTTACAACTGAACAGACTTTATCATGAAGAACTCAACAACAGATAAACTCACATAGACTCTTAGTTATATATTATTATATATCTATAATCACAGATACTTAGTTATAGATTATTATATTAGATAATAATATAACAAAACTCAGGCCTAATAATTATCAACTTGTGAGTCTTATTTTGTCTTTGAATCTCTACCTCTCAGTAGATTATTTTGAAACGAATCTTACATATCATATCACTTCAAAGCCTCCCAGGTAAAAATATTCAAAGGCTGGGTGCTGACTTCCTGTCCTCACCAGCTCTCCTCACTCAGCTATTTCCTTGATTTTGAAGTAGTTGTGTTTTCTCAGAGTGAGGACATGTAGTCCGTCTATGGATACCTCTTTCTGAAGACTATTCAGTGTTACATGAAGCGAGAATAAATTCTGTTTGTCATGTCTTGCTCCTGGAAGAAGTGCTCTAATGTTAGTCTGAGGATCAAAGCATTTCATCCCTTGGCGGCCTTAAAAAAAAGGGGGAAAATAGTGTTTTTCTATATTTCAAAGGAATAGAGAGGGGGTGAGGGGAGGAGCAACCTCTAGACTGTCCTGGGCTTGGTGCCAAAGGAGACTTTTCTTGTCTTTAAACACAGGTAAATGTCCTTTAAGCATAGACAATTTTTGAAAAGGAAAATTCCATCGTCTTTCTCTGAAACACTGACTTAAGTAAACACAGTTGAGAAGTGTAAAAATAGTGGCTTGTGCTCCAGATGCAGTACAAGACAACAGAGAGCCCTGCAGCACCTCCTAGCTGCCTCAGAAAGCGCTTCTAGAGAGACCCACATCCAAGGGCACCTTCTGGAAAACAGCTGAGTGCCTGTTACTTTGATGGGAAACTGAATGCTGTTAAGTGGCAGTTTCAAAGCTGCACGATACAGAGACTATTTATTTATTTATTCTTATGTGTATTGGTGTTCTGCCTGCATATGTCTGCGCACCATAAGGATGAGTTCAGACAGTTGTGAGCCGCCATATGGTGCTGGCAATCGGACTTGAGTCCTCTGGAAGAGTAGTCAGTGTTCTCAATCACTAAGCTATGCCCAGCACAAACAGGAAAATGTTTTTAAAAATTTACCTTTAGAGGCTGGGTAGTGGTGGCATATACCTTTAATCCCAGCACTCAGGAAGTAGAAGCAGGAGGATCTCAGTGAATTCAAGGCCAGCCTGGTCTACAAGGTGAGTTCCAAGACTGTTACACAGAGAAACTTTTGTCTCGAAAAACAAAACAAAACAAAAAAACAAATAGACAGAAACTGAGGAATCGAGAGAGAGAGAGAGCAATTCATAAAAACTTACCTTTAAAGTTTGATAAAGGATCTTTAGGGGCCACTAGGAGTAATGAGTGAACAGTTCCTACACTTCCAGAAATATTTTAAAGTTGGAACCACACTCAAACACAATATGTTCAGTAACGGCATTCTGAGAACTGTATTTCCCAAAGAGCCTGGGCTATCACTCTTCCATGGGGATATATTTATATCTTACAACAATGTGCCTTGTAATTTATAGTCAGAACATCCTTGAGGCAAGTGTGATATTGACAATCTAGCTCAGTTTAAATATTCAGAACAAGCATAATTTATACTTTACTTTTCTTTCCAAAGCATAGTAAATTTTATCTCAAGAACATTCTACCTTTTGTTGGCTATGTTATAAATTCTGATAGATCCTATATGGTGTGAAATGGAGTATCTTAAATTGTTCTCTACACAGTTTTATTAACATTGGCAGTGAAGTACAGGTGAATCTTTCCTTCTTTCTCAGAAATAGAGATCTCAACAGAAAATAAAAACAAGCAAAGAAAATCCCTGCTAAATTCCTCCTCAATTGTTTTCTGTCTGTGATGACTAGACTTTTTTATTAGTTGAGGCACCTGACTCTGCAATCCCTGCGGAGATAATGCAAATGAAGATAGCATGAGTGCCAGAATTTATCTTTCCCTGCATCCTTCTGGTCACAAGTACAGGAAAGCCGAGTCTGCTGACTCAGAGCACACACATTCCTACAAACTCCCAATATGAAAATCATAAGAGACTGTTACCTCTAAAGCACATAGGTTTATTCTGGTGCTATGATTGGGAGGGATCCAATAGGAAGAGGTTCTCAACCTTCCTAATTCTATGCCTTTAATACAGTTCCTCATGCTGTGGTGACCCCAATCATAAAGTTGTTTTGTTTCTACTTCCTAACTGTAATTTTTCTATTTATGAATCATAATGTAAATATCTGATATGCGACCTTTGCACAATCCGCAGGTTGAGAACTGCTGCAACAGGGATACTAGAGTGTAAAGATCACTGGGTAATTCAATATTAGCACCGTAATGGAATTCTGTGCTGCCTACTATACACTGACATACTGAGGGATGAACAGAACTTGACATAAGCAGCTACTGATTAATATTTTACCAGAGTGCAGTAATGTGTATACATGTATTTGTTTTGTGGACCTGGGGATCAAACACAGTGCCTCACACATCAGCCAGGATGCTCTACCACTGAGCCATACCCCTAGAGCTATTTTGAAGATTCCTAAATGTTTATTTTTCAAACCACCCACTCTTTCCCCACCATGTATGCTTTCTAACATCACTGGCAGCTTTTTCTTGACTTTTAAACTTTCTTTTCTTCCTCTCCTTTCCTACTCGACTTCCTTTATTACTATCCTGTTTAGGATCCATGTACAATTTGTCAAACAACTTCTTTTTTTTTTCTTTTTTTTTGGTTTTTCAAGACAGGGTTTCCCTGTAGCTTTGGTGCCTGTCCCGGAACTAGCTCTTGTAGACCAGGCTGGCCTCGAACTCACAGAGATCCGCTTGCCTCTGCCTCCTGAGTGCTGGGATTAAAGACGTGCGCCACCACTGCCCGGCTTTTGTCAAACTTCTTTAGTAGTCAGTATTCTTTATGGCTTCCTCCAGGACTATCCTCTACTTGCCCATCATAACTCTAACTCAACTGCAGCACTCTGCTGCTCCACGTGAATGCAGGGCGAGCACACAGCTGACCAGCAGCTCCATTCTTCACGAACCACATCTCTACTTGAAGCTTCTCACAGTTATTTTGCTTCTCAATCAGTTCAATCCATTTTCTTATCATGGAAGCTCCTCCCTACTCCTTTCTCCACTATTCTGCTTTATCCGGGCTGCTCCTCAGGCCCTGCTACAGTATATAGATGGGCGCTATCTATCTTCTCCCTCCTGGCACAACAGAAAAGCCAGCAGTCAGTGGCAAGATGGCCTTTCCCTCTGGCTTTTAAACAATCCCTCTTCTCCTACTTTTTAGGATTTGCTGT